TGCCTTGTGAGCCGGTCTATTCCGACCTAGGCTTCAACAGGTGCGTGGCCCCCTGCTGTTTCATTGCCCCTGGTGTGAACCCTTTAACAAAAAAAAAAAGAACAGTAGACAGCCCCACCTAGCGGTATGTGCTGAGGCCGTACCACACCCATGCTTCTAAATTTATGTTAAAAACACATAGGTTCATTCCCTAAAACTTATCGTCTAGGCTGTTCACATACATTGTATTAAACATTGCAAAACGTCACGTTTAAGGGGCCTTATTTCAAATAGCGTTTGCTCCGTTTGTTGTTACCATTTTGAAATGGTTGTCTTACGAATCATTATTCTTTGTTTGAGGCATGGTTTCGTGTAAACATCCGCGATTGTTTATGACTACACCATATGTCTAATAGCCTGGGAGCGGATAATTCTACCCATGCTTAATGGCTTGTGAACGGATGATCAGTCTATGTCAAAGACAGTTTGATTCTACCCCCATGTTCCCTCCGCAGGTGCGAACTCCCGTGTTATGCTTGACAGACATGTTTGATGTTTTAGCCCTTAAAAATAATATACCCATTGCCATATTCTAACATGGTATGTTGCTAAATACCGTTCACCAGTTCCTACAGCTATTAAATGCATCTAGGTCGCCATTTTTGCCACCGATTTGACAGCGACGCTGCTATTTAAGTGTCTCTATGTGGAGAGCGAGAGAGAGAGAGAGAGAGAGCCCAGAAAAGGGTTTACCTGGGGTGGGGTTCGAACCCACGCGGACATACGTCCATTGGAGCTTAAGTCCAAAGCCTTAACCCCTCGGCCACCCTGGTGAACATGATACATATGCATACATTTTGTCTATTTAAAAATGCTATTACAAATCGACATTTATTTAATTTAGAAATATATTATTTATACTGTTTACAAATAAGTCAGATTAACAAATAGAGTTAATGCGCATTCTGTTAGGATGGTGGCGTGCTCACACAATTAAGGGCCATGGGTTAGCGATTACAATTTCCGCCGTCGCCATTTTGAACGTGTGTCTGCGTCAGGGCGCCTGCGTCACGCGTGCTGCCCCCCACTGGGCAATCATTCGACCCGCAAGTTTGAACTGGGAGGCAGGACACGGTCGAGCTGCGGGGCTAAAATGTTTGCTGGTTAAATGTTTTCTTCAACCTAACACTGGTAAATATCGCTAAAAGTTTTTCTTGTTCTTCTTTAAATACGTTGGTTAAATGTAATGGGTTTAAAATGTTTGTGCTTGTTTCGCATTTGCTCTTTTGTGCTTGTTTAAAAGTTAAAAGTTTGGGACGTGTCGTTTGTGCTTAAAATACGGTGTTTTGCTTGGGGACATGTCTCTACTTGTTTAAAATACGCCTACTTTTCTTTCTTTTAAAAGTTAAAGTTTGGGACGTGTCATTTTG